GAAAGTTAAACGTCGGACGTCTGCGTTTCGTCTTCTAACCTGTTGGACGAGCAGAGTGTCATAGCCTCCTATATACTGATAAGCCTGGCAGATCGCCGCGAGAAGCTGCCGCCGAAATGTAAAAGATGGAGCGGCAGACAACGGATGAGGGGAGAGCCACGTGACTGGCGCCCCGCTGCGGCGAGACGCCGAAACACACCTCTCCCAAGCGAACAATTGTGTTTCGGGTCCTCGCCGCTGCAAATGCTGTGCTCTGACGTCCAGGTTCCCCGAGAAATAACTCTTTGATGTGCTGCGCTACCAGATCCCCGTACTTAAAATCTGCGACCGGGCACTCCATGGCTTCGTCGTCGAACTGCCAGGCTTGGCGAGTATAGAGGAGGCTATGACAGTGGAGACAAAGGCAACTAGTTTTAGGTCTACCCACTAATCGTACCAACCAGGGCTCGACGTTCTGACGTACCGCGCGCTGTCATCTTCTCCTCTCCCTCAGTTTTCCAGCACATAGCATTCAATTGCCGCTTTTTGAATTTAGGTATTTTTATAGCGGCATAGTTTCAATCGATTCGTTAGTAAACTGTTACCGGGAGACAAGGAAACCACGTTTGCGTTAGCTTCTTTTTGCGTTCGCGTCGGCGCTCTTTCTTTTATTCCAGTCTGGTTATTAGCGGGTAGTGGTGCGTCGTTGAGGTTTTACGTCCCCTGGATTAGCCTAGCCCGTGAAAGCTGGCATAAACTGGCCAGTGGCGCCCTCTCACGCTTCTTATACGTGACGTCATAACAAAGATTTACCCCGCCCTGACGTCACACGTTGTGCTCCCGGCTTCCTATTGTCAGTTTCAAAAGACTAGTTGGGTGGTTGGGGTAAAACTCACGGCTAGAAGCTTGGAGTCGGCGGAATTATACACCAACACCCTTAAAGGTGTCGGTCTAATATATTGCTGTTATCTATACCGCCTCAAAACGCCATGATGAGCGTTTGACCAATCGTGGCCAGCCGACCATAGCGAAGCTATTTGTTGCGCACGTCTCCAATACACGGCTTGCTGAGCTGCTTACAACTAGTTAGACGATATATTTTATCAAATTACCAAACTATCGAAATGACCTGTACGAATGTCACAAGGGGCAATCTTTTTCTAGCAGGCGATCTACCAGACCATACAAGCACTCTGAGTGCTCGCGTCGCCTTACCAATAAAACGCGTTCTCGAGATAACAACAACCACAACAAAAAAGTACAGTTTTTTTTTTGCGCAATTTAGGCATAGCAACACAACACCGATCACATCGGATGCAAGGGCAGCAGCGGTCGCCCCCGCAGCAACAACAGCCCTAGGGTTTGGGCTCACCGAAATTGCTTTATGATAGTCGGTCCCGCGAGGTAAATGCTATCGACAATGCCATTATTGCGAGCGGAGAAGACGGTTTCGGTTTCGGAATGGCCCTGGGAGCAAGGAGGACTGTTCTTCGCTCTGACCAAAGGTCGCCCGCTGTTTCCGGTCTACGCCGCATGGGATCGCTGCTTGAGCTCCCAAGCAAATGGTTCGGGGTATCAGAAAAAAAGATCAAACAAGCAATCAAATAACCGAGACAAGCCGAAAAAGAAGCCAACAAAGAAGATAACTAAGGAGGAAGGAGCGAGCGATCGGAAGATGGGGAACCGTGGAAACGGGAAGCGCGGAGCAGGGTCTCTCGGGCTATACTCTCGGCTCCGAATACTGATTGGGCCAGGCCCGATCGCGGACCTCTCGGGGGCCTTTCCTGCCTTTTTTTTTTTTTTTTGGCTTGCGTTTTGACATTTTTTGTTTGTTGGTTTTCTTTCTTTGTGCGAGTGCAATTTGGTTCAGAGAGAGAGAGCCGGTGGTGAGGGTGTTAACCACCGGTATGGCGTTGGAGGGTTTGCGGCCGAGTAGAAAATGATTGCCGCCTGATTTGAAGCGAGAGCAGCGTCGGCTTGGAGAAGAACAGCCCGTGGGTCGGGGTCTACCGCTCTGGTAGAGGAGGCTGGATCGTCCGGATGCCGTATCCCGAGTCCCGCAGGTCATCAAGTGCGAGCTCCCCTCCGCGCGATGGAAGTTTGATCGTCCTCTTCTCCTTAGATGTGCCTCTTCGCTGGGGAGCCCAGTGACCGTTTTTAACGTAGAGAGCGTCCGTTTCAAAGCCAGACCGGAGTACGAAATGGACTCCGGGAGGGAAGCTTGGAGACTCGAGAAGGAAATCATTCTGATCGTGGCAGCGTCGTCGGTCGAATAGCGGCGGTGAAATTCAAGGACAGGAGTTTCGAGGCCGCCACCGGGATAACTCCATCCTCCCTCTAGGCATGGTTGTTGACTCGGCAGTGGAGAATGTAGGGGACCCTTGGCGCCTTGGCACCCAACGAGGGCTTTAACTGAAAAGTATTATTACGAAGCTGCGTGATATTCGTGCCTAATGGTTTTCATCGCATTCCTTGACAATTCAATTGACTTAACTGTTGAGAAGGCGTCGGAAAAAAACACAAATGCGTAGGCTCATTGCCGTACCCCGCAAAAAGCAAAGGCGGCAGCTCCGGTGTTTTCCGACGCATCATACATTTGCACGTCGTACCTTGTGACGCTGCTGGGAACAACGGCGTCCGCTAGCACGTTTCCCCGCTAAAGTTAGCGGAAAAATGTTTCCACTGAACTTAGCTGTCTGGTAGCAAATGCTATCACGGCTAATGTTGCGGGCAATCTACGGCGCCATAAACGCTTTTTTTTTTTCAGGCAAAAATCGAAAATAATGCGGTGTACGCTCAGCATCACTCTAAGTCACACTCCAGCTTTTCCTCTGCTATCCCCTTTCGCACCCTCGAAGCAGCCACCACTCGCGGCGCCATCCCCACAAAGCGCGCGAGAGCGCAGGCGCCTTGTTTAAGCAGTCATTATTGTGAATCATTGAGAAGAGTTCCCAGGCACTTTCCCTTCTCCCCCCAAGCCTCCGTCACGTCACTCAGTCCAACCCTGCGTTCGGTTGAGCGAAAACTCCGAGGCCCAGTTGGTTGCTGCCACTCTCCCGACCTTCTCTCGCTCTCTCGAGCGAAGAGAGGAGGACTGACTCGACCCGGAGTTCACGCGGTTCCAATTTCCTCCCTCGGTCTTTTCCTCGATGACGCTGAGAGAGAAAACGTCCCCCCCCCCTCCCCCGCTGATTAATTGAGCCAATTAAAAGGCGCCTCGACTGTCCCGGGACAACCCGCCGAGAGGCGCATGAAACTCCTCGTCCATTTTCGGAAAGAAGTCGGAAGGAGACCAGGGGATGGGATGGGGTGGAGGACGGGGTTGAGGAAGGGGGGGGGGGGGGGGGGGAAGGGGCGGACGAGAAAACGCAGAGAACGAAAGAGTGGGAGACAGAATGTGGCCGCTAATCCACTTAGACTGACGGCGGACGGGAGGGCGCCGCGGGGTCCTTCGGCCGCAGTGTGATTGCTCGCGCGGGGCCACTCTCAACACACCCTACCCCCTTCGTACACTCTTAGCACCTCTGGGCGCAGGTCGGGTTCTAATTAAATCTCTCACCTTCTGGCAACTCTTTCTTCCTTTCTTCTCCTCCCTCCCCCTTCTCCCTTCGGGGAGGGGGCAAAATGGAAGATGTCCAGCTGAGCAAAGGAATCGGGATGTCTGGACAGGAGAAAGGGGAAAGGGGGGGGGGGGGGGGAGGGCTTCCGGTATTTGCATCGCTGGTGGAATGACGAGTGAAATAAAAGGGCTGGAGCGCCGGCAACGTGTGTTGTATTTGCGAGTGCGAGGAAGAAAAAGGCCCCTCAGAAGTAGTGTAATTTCTTATAAATTAATTTCAACTTGAATAAACAAACTGCTTTCGTTGAAGACGTCCCACCCTTTGACAGTCATTGTAATTGTGTTGCGGGTACGATTAGATTGAAAGTTAATACCAATGGGTGTCGTGTGCCTCCGCCGTGGATGGGAAATTCAGGCAGTGTATAGTGCTACCTTGAGACTTTTAGGGTGCATCACACGGCAGTGATTATGGAAACACGCACCGGTACGATGCTCACACAGATCGAAGATAGCCAGGAGTGTGGATTAGATTACGATCCTTGAGCTCAATCCCCACTCCTGTCCGTTTCTTAGTAATCTCTGTAATCGTCTTGTCGTGATGTGGTTGTTCCATTTCATCTCTTTCTTTTTCACTTTAATGTTGTTTGACTTGATTCCTAGTTGCGCAGCAGTCTGTGAACGAGGGGACTTTATCAAGCAGCCTCGTGCCGCTTTTCCTTCTCCTTCTCGTTTTTTTTATGTAGTGAATATATACACTTGAAGCCCTGGATCAATACAATATAGGGCACAAAATACAAAACAAAGACACGCACGACGAATAGGACTCATCCGCCGTGCATGTCTTCGTTTAAACCCTGTTTTTTGGATGGTTTGTTTTCTGTCTATTTGATACCAGCTAGTCAACATTTCAACGCTTCGGAATGCACGAAACACAATGTCTAAAGATAATTATGTTGCTGCTTCAAAACTCTTAAGCCGCCTTCACACCACTCATAGAGCATGCAAACGACAGTTCTGCGGACGCTCTGTGAGGCGTGTTTCTTCCCCGTATGACTGTCCTATCACATTGGGCATAACAAACTGTCTAACTGTCAGCAGACAAGCTGGAAGCACGTATCTATACGACGCAAACATTGTTCGAAAATGCACGAGGCGGGCCCGAAGATAATTTTGCAATCCTGTCTGCCGGGAACACGGCGTCTTTTGTATAATTTATGAGCAGTATAACATCGGATTTGTCATGCAAAACTTGTTTCCAGACACATTAAAAACAGACGTCTGTATGAAGCCTTCAGAAATGTTTGAGGCTTTCCGCCAACACTTATCACGTCTGCAATAGACACCGTGTCCTCTGCAGGAGGAATGAGTAGTGGTACAGCACCCTGAGAGTCTCGATGCAACCACGCGCACCATCACGACACGGGAGCATCAACCGGAGGACCAACGCTTCTCCCTTCCACAGATCAGCGGCCTGGTGACCAACACGGGCCACGGCGTCATCTTCCGGGTGTCGGACACCCTGGCCCCGGGTCTGGCGGTGAACATCTCCGGCGGCCCGCTGTCCTACCAGTACCGGGTCCACGAACTGCACATCCACTACGGGCGTTCCGACGACCGCGGGTCCGAACACACCGTCGCCGGAAAGCCGTTCCCGGCAGAGGTACGTACGGGGGGCCCCAGTGTGCACCGCCGCACAGTTGGCGAAGACAGCTTCGTAAGGGTCGAAGGGAACGCCGAATCGGACGTGTAATGTCCCCGCGTATAAACGGCTGAACCTACCTTACGGCCATACGTACATGTTACTGAAGGAAGCAACAACTAAATACTGTTAATTGTTACTCGCTCAAAAAGTGACTAAGTACGTAATTTGTTACTAAGACTAAAAGAAACCTCTTTATTTCAACTCAAAAGTAACGAGTTCGTTTCTCGTTACACTGGATATGTTTGTTTGTTTTCTGAAGCAGTATACGCTTCCCAATATTTTGTGTCGTGAATAATGCCTACAGATTTTTAGCGCATTCATTGGCTTTTTTATATTCTTATTGGCGTTTTTCTTTTCTCTCTGAAAGTCACACCCGCCAGCTGGGGGAAAACCAAATAGGGTAGCTCGTGTTCGTTACATTTCTCTCCAGATGCAACTTAACATTTTTATTCGTTATTACACCGAAAATACTTAAAACACATTACTTTTACTTCCTTTCGAAAAGTAACTAAGCCGTTATAATTCGTTAAATTAGAAAACCTGCATAGCCGTAACGCGTTACATGTAACGCGCTACGTACAAATTTGTCTACAGCCTTGTACTTAGAATGTTTACTAATCTTTATCCGATCAGGCATGGAACTACCTGATATTTATTTTCAAATCCCCCACTTCAATATTATTCGCTTTTCACAATCACAGCGCGGTTTGAGGATATGAAAGAAGGCATGTTTCACTATCTCGACAAAACGCTCTAAGCTAGGCCACCGAGAAAAGCAGAATATGCTTTGTTATATTTCCGATTTAAGAACCACATGTTCTTAAACGGGCTGTTTTGTGGACATTAGACGTGGCTCGGGAGTATAAACAAAAATGTTAATTAGACCTGTTTGACGTAACTAAGAGGTCGTTAAAAAAAAACAAAAAAAAAAACGACGTCATCCTTAAGATGAGTGCGTCTCCCGCATATCTTCATGTATGATACTTTGCAGTGAAGAAGTGAAGTTTCGTTTTATATTTGGGAAAGTTCTTCTCCGGCAAGATTCGCAGTTCGCTGGGTGCCGTTTTAGGAGTCTTGACGGGCCGTGCAACCAAAGCATGAATCGTAGCCTTCTGTTCCTGTTCAATGGTCACAATATTTCGACTCAAAAGTGATCATTCTGGTTTTCTTACAGTGTTGTGTTCCCGTCACGCACATTATCACTCCTTGGCCCATTATTATGGCTGTTCCGCTCTTCGCGTTAGAGAACAATATCTGTGAACGAGCCCCCTTAGATTAAGCGCTAGGCAGGGATGTTTCATTGTTTTGTATTAGAAAATAATCATCTCCGAGGTAACCATGTTTCTAAAAGTCATATCATGTAAAACCGGAGAAGTATGAGGAGACGAATGAAGTATTAAAAATGACGACCACGGCAATACCAAGGAGACGTCAAATTTTGATAGCCATCCGTTTGCCCGTACCCATTAAGCATAACTGGACAAAACAGAATACGCATCGTGTAAGGCGTGCCGTATTGCCAACTAATGTTAGACATGAAATTCACACTGGTGATAGGGACAAAAAAAAAAAAGCGGAAGACAGATATTCAAAAATACTAGAATTGCCAGAAAACAGGGAACTAAAAGAAAACACCGCCGTTTTCCTAGTTTGTTTTCATTGAGGTTTTTAAAATTCCAAGAAATCTGTCTTACCATCTTACACACCTTTCGAGTCTTACTGAAGTGTCACAATCTAAAGTGATATGTAAGTGTTGTTCGAGACAGCACGCTTTTTGCGCCAGGCGCGCTTGCAAGATGGAACAATGTAGCTTACGCAGGATGTAAACAAAACGACAACAGATACCGACTTTCTGGTTTTTCGCGCTGGTGTTACGCGGCTTCCGGCGTTTTTGATCCACAGGCGTACCCAATGGAATAATGCCTCGCTTAAGCGAGCGTGCTTAAAAGCCAAATCTACATTTAATACAAGCGTGGAGATATAAAAATGAAAAGTTATATATGCCGCGAAATAACCCCCATTTGCAAGGGAACGTCGCGGCGCAACGTTAGTGAACGTTCAATCAGTATTGACCAATAAGCCCAAAAACAACTTTTAAAAGGAACTACGGAGCAACATTTCACTTTTCAATCATCCCGGCGTGAGCATGCTGTATGTAAAAAAGTTTAGATATGTTTTGAGCTTTGAAAGACGTGTTAGCTTTTACGGTGACAGATCTTGTACGAGATATTGCGGCTTTCCGACCAGTACTTTTAAACCAGAGTCTGAAACCGTTAAATTTATCCGTCTTGTTGCGGTTACGGTTAAAGGTTTTCCTCCAAACCGGTTTTGTTTTGGTCTTTTAAGGTTCTGATATTTACCCTTTCGGTATAGTTAGCCGCTCCTAAAAACAATTTTTTTTGTTCAATTTCTTTTTTATCCAGCTAATAATTAACAAAATTTGATTGCGAATAATTTTTGTTAATGTTTGGCAACAGTTCTTCAATAAACGATTTGAAGTAATCTCTGATATTCTGCAACGGGTAGGCGAGGCGAAAGTAATCAGAAGCATACAATTTCGTGTGTGTGTCTGTGGATATGTGGACAGCATGATGCTTGTCAACCGTTCAAAGAATCGACATGTCTGTACGCTGTAGGTGGGAAAGTTAGACAAAGCAGAACGGCTAGCCTGGGATCTTCAAGTGCCTCACGCTGTAGTGATGCATGATCGCACGCGGGCACGATGTTCGTCCAGATCCAAACTATCGAGAATGAGAAGCATTTCGAAACTTCTTTATTACTTATAGGTTAGTCAGAAGATTTATTGGTTCAAGGCTCTTGTTCACATTATTTATTTGCTTTACATAATTCATTCAACTAGTTTTCACGCTAGTAACGATATGGTAACACTGCTTATTCATCATTAAAAAAGTATACTTCAGTTCAACTTTTGAATGCTGATTTTTTCTCTAACCGACCAACTCAGCCAAGCTGTTTCTTTTAGCGCCATTACCATAACATTCCTGAACGCTCGTCTTTCCACCAGGGTCACGATTAAAGTACCCTATTTGGGAGCACACAACGCGTGTCTTATGCCTAAAATAAATATTTTGAACTTTTAACGTCGTGATGATTTTAATAAATAAAGTTTACAATAGAGTTCATTTGCACGATATAATACCACGAAACATTAATTGCATTTTAAAAAATGGGAACCAACTGTTGAAACTCAGATAATTGAAATAAAATATTGTCAACTGGCTGACCGGCCGACCATATTCGCGTCAATCGGTGAAACATCGTCGACGAGGCTTTGCCCGCTGAAGCGTCCTTCACTCGAGTGAGTGCCTCCCCACCAAAAGATTCGAAATTTCCACATGATCGCGTATCTTTTCTCAATAGAATACTTTGGGAATGAAAAGGTCGCACACCATGTAAAAATTGAACAACCAAGAGCCACTAAGCTTTCACTCGCCAGCCGCATACATGACAGAAAAGAACTCTGCCGTCATCCAACGTTACGGCTAGCCGTCTTGTTAGCTCTCCGTTGTTGACGCTAGAACTGCATCGACGGCATTTACTGGTTCCCAATAGTCACTTGTCGGGAGCAGTTTTTCTTGTCTTGTTGAAATCGTCGCGGCCACAGAGACTACTGGCCATAGCAGAGCTGTCACTGTGAGCCTTAGCTCCGCAAACGTCTACATCTATGGTTCTATGAAAGTCAATACGAGCATCGAAGCGAAATAGGTGGCGGCGCTATACGCGAGTTTTTCATTCCGTGGTGCGCCGTCACGTGATTTTTGGGGCTCTTTTATTGCCCCACCAACCCTGTGGGATCCAGCGTTTGCGAGGTTAAGCTGAAATGGAGCATAGCAAAGGAAGCATGCCGCTGTCCCGCCGTCCCATCCGTCCCATTCGCCCCGTCGTCTGCCACACGCACCCACCGCCACCTCCGTGACCACGCTTTCGTTTTCGCTCTCTCACTCCTTTCCTCGGCTGCTTTCCCGAAGAAAGTAAGCAAAGTGGAGAGGATGTGCGGGTTTTGACAAATGCCGATGGCATTTCAAGATCATCGTATATGTTCCGCTGTATTATTGTTGGAAAAGAGAATGTTCAACCGATTTAATATATCGGTTACCGGTCAAGACATTACGGATATGGTTAGAGTGACGGTTGTGGTTACAGTTAAAAGCGAATTAAAATATCAGTTTCATTCCGATTACGGTTACTGAAAAGATTTCAATCCTAAACGGTTTTCGGTTCGTGTTACTGTTAAGGCCGGCTCTCACTTGCTGCGAAGCGCTGAAGAAGCGCGGCTCACCTGTCGTGGGCTACTTATCGCCTGCCACGAGTAACAGTTTTGACGGTGCGATACGAAGCTGGTGAACGCTCCCGTCAGCACGCGCTTAGCACGAGGTCAGCGCTATGCTTGTAACGCTCCGCTGCATGTGTGAACAAACCGATCCGGTTTCTGTCCCTGTTTACAACAGAGCAGGGGCACGGGCAACGCAAACGCGCCCCCGAAGGAGAACCTCCGTTAAGCTGGCTTCCCCTTTGTTAGCGTCTTCTAGCGGCGGTGCACCCTTTACAGGGGAAGGCACGAGCTGCCGCTCGTTTTGTTCTTACGTCGGCCCAGTTTTGACGCCGAAGCTGATTTTGAAAATTTACGTGTTTATTCATTCTATAATTTACCATATTTTCCGGGCTATAGGCAGAACCGTGGTGTATTCCGCGAAGTTCTGCAAAAAAAAAAAGAGTCTTCCTTAGATAGTTTGCGCCCGATGCATAGTTCGCACGTAACATTCTCATACTCTGCGCACCTTGAAAAAATGACTGGCCTATTACACACATAAAGGCTCGATCACACATAAATCAAGATTCGTATAAGAAGTCACCTACAAAATCTATGACGTCTAATCATAGGAAACGATCTTAGGAAACGAATACGTTTGTAGTTTGAACCTGTAGAAAGTGCGCAC